GCTCTTCAAACACTAATATAACCTTAAGAACAATGTTCTGTTTTTAAAAATTGTATCACAAAAAGTGGTTCAAACAACTGATAGAAGATATATACAGGATGATAGAAAGTTTTGTACATGAAATCTGATGCCTTGTTTCAATAACTTTTAAGCCTTTAAAGGAAGTGCAAAAACAACCTCATTCTACCAACATCTGTCATATAATTTACCGCATCTAAACTAGCATATAAAGGTCAAGTTTTCTTCAGAAGTAAACAGTATTTTAAATTTTCAACATGCTTGATGCATAAAAATTCGGAAAACAAACCTCAATGAACCGTAAAAGTAATTCAAATAGGGAATTCAGTGCAATTGAAGAAGCTCCCTGGCATAAGAGAAAGGCATTAGCAATAATTTAACGAACCTTTTTGACATCAATCGAAAATATGAATCGTTACTTGAAGTGTTTTTGTCAAAATTAGTTTTTGAAAGCTGTTACTGGATGTGTTTCTCTCACTATCTAGATTTAAAATGCACCCTCTTAAATCTTAACATTTCATTGGATGAAAACAGAAAATAAAGTGTGAGTATGTGTGTGTGTGTAGATAAAAGTTAAATTTCTTAAACACATTATCTCCAGAAATTTCAAAATAAGAGAGCAGTTAACAAAAATATGATTAAATCTTCCATTTAAACTCTTAATTCCTTGTCTTGAATCTCGATCAATTTATCATTCCATGAACATTTGACGCAAAAGCAAAATGTGACATGAAAATTCAACAATTATTTACAGGAATACAACTGACATTGATGATGCTAATACTTTAAAACAACTTGGGTATTGTCAATAACAACTTGTTCTTTTCAAGAAGCAACTAGGAGATAGAAACATATATCAGATGTACTGACCTAGAAAATGTGAAATCCAAAAGATGTAGCACTGGTTTCATCGTGCAAATTTGCATTCTGCTACAAGTGTCCCAGAGAAATTTCTGACATTGAACGATAACTATTATTGGTCCTTAATTCATTGCTTTTCCCCTGTGTATTTCCTCAGCGAATGAGTTACAGAATTTGGAAATTCTCAGCTTAGGTAGACAACTAGTTAATCAGTTCTGCACATTAAACAAAATCAGAAACCCGAGGCTGTGATGAGCTTTCTATTTAAATATTATGAAATGAAGAAAGGATGGAGAATAATTGACAAAGCAAAACAAACCATCAACTGAGATTGAGTTCTTTCAACCACTCTCCTAATGCCACTCTCCACCTTTTCCATAATGCAAAATGCTGCACAGATCAGACAATAAATATTTTTGATGAAATTTGAAACCATTAATAGAATATTACATGCCTTAGTATAAGAGAAAGGATTTTATACTAGAAGGAAATACAAGTATTGTTTAAAGGATTTTATATGACAATGATTATATGTTAATTCTCAAAAAAGGCTTGAACATCCATAGGTGATTTAGAAAAAAAAAAAAAAAAAATTGATAAATAAATTTAGAAGATTACAATATAGATGAGATGCTACTCACCAAGCAAGTGCCTCAATGAAGTTTTTGCCATTGAACTCTCAAATAATTATAAACTCTCAGCATAGGTAGCCCAGCTAGTAGACAGTTCTATGTATTAAAGCAAATAAGAGAATCAGAAACACAAAGCTGTGACGTGCTTTCGATAAGAAATGAAGAAAGAATAAAAGATTAGAGAGAAAGCATAACCAACCATTAGTTGACTTCTTTCGACTACTCTCCTAATGACATTCTTCCTCTCTTCCATAATCCAAAATTATAAACAGTGGGGTTATGACCTTCAAGGAGTTCGAACATAGGCTATACAAAATATTTCCAGGCCTGTCAACTTTTTCCAGAATGATACAAAGTTCTGTCAAGAAAAGGGAATTTGATGCCTAGTTTCATGTAAGCTCAATGACAACTAATGTCTTAAACTTTGGGGCCAACAAAAGGAATTGTTGCCTTTTGAAAATTAAAAAAGTGTGATTAAACGAATTAAATTACCCATTTCATCAGGCCTATTCCCCTTTTATCACATGTTAATCAATGACGTCTCCTGCATTTATGTCTATCCTTCATTTTCTGATCAATAATTGAAATGTAGCTCAAATAAAACAGACATTTCAATTCAGGTAACTTCTAAGCCAAAAATAAAGAAATAAAAAAAATAAAAAATAAAAAGTGCAAAATGAACTCGTTCTGCCAACTCTAATCTGTCATAAATGAATAGTATTTCTAAATTGATTCTTCAACAAATTCATGGGATTTTAAATTTGATTATTTCGATATCCAAGGACATTTCAAAAGCAAGTTTCTTTAAAAAAGAAAGCAGCATTTTAAATTTTCAACACCTAATGACATAGAGAAATAATCAACACAAGCCTCAATGAGCCATCAAAAGATTTCAGAGATTAAAATTCAGTTCTCCAATTGTAGTTCCCTGACAAAAGATGGATTCAATGGTAAGATAAAGTCAATGCATTTAGCCCTGTTTAATATCATTTTATAACTAGTTTTCAACAAATGAATTTGAAAAAAAAGAAGAAAAAAAGACAATTAAATTTTGTAAGGCTGATATCATTCTCTCCAAACACTAATTTAATCTTAAGAACAATGATCTATTTTTAAAAGTTGTTATCACAAAAAATGGTTGAAACAAATGATAGAAGATATATACAGGATGATAGAAAGTTCTGTAGATGAAATTTGATACCTTGATTCAATAACTTTTAAGCCCTTAAAGGAAATGCAAAAACAACCTCATTCTACCACCATCTGTCATATAATTTACTGCATCATAACCAACATATAAAAGTCAAGTTTTCTTCAGAAGTAAACATGCATGATGCATGAAATTCAGAAGACAAACCTCAATGAACCATAGAAGTAATTCATATGGGGAATTCAGTGCAATTGAAGAAGCTCCCTGGCATATGACACGAGAAAGGCATTGACAGTTATTTAACGAACCTGTTCAACATCAACCAAAAAATGAATCGTTACTTAAAAACAACTTGGGTATTGTCAATAACAGCTTGTTCTTTTCAAGAAGCAAGTAGGAGATAGAAACATATATCAGATGTACTGACCTAGAAAATTTGAAATCCAAAAGATGCAGCACTGGTTTCATCGGGCAAATTTGCATTCTGTTACAAGTGTCCCAGAGAAATTTCTGACATTGAACGATAATTATTATTGGTCCTTAATTCATTGCTTTTCCCTTGTGTATTTTCTCAGCAAATCAGTTACAGAATTTGGAAATTCTCAGCTTAGGTAAACAACTAGTTAATCAGTTCTGCACATTAAACAAAATCAGACACCCGAGGCTGTGATGAGCTTTCTATTTAAATATTATGAAATGAAGAAAGGATGGAGAATAGTGACAAAGCAAAACAAACCATCAACTGAGACTGAGTTCTTTCAACCACTCTCCTAATGCCACTCTTCACCTTTTCCATAATGCAAAATGCTGCACAGATCAGACAATAAATATTTTTGATGAAATTTTAAACCATAAATAGAATATTACATGCCTTAGTATAAAAGAAAGGAAAGCACTTAAAAATTATCAGAAAATTGATGTAAAGAAAGTGGGGTTATGACCTTTCCAGCCTTAGTATAATAGAAGGACAATTTTTTCCAGCATGATATAAAGTTCTGCTACGGGAATCAGATGCCTGGTTTCAGTAAGTTCAACGAAAACAAATGTCTTAAAATATGCAAAACTTGGTCAAGAAAAGGAATGTAACAAGCACCTCAATCTGACTTCTTTTTCAAGAGAAAGTAGAAGACAGAAACAAACAGTATGAAATGCTAGCTTACCAAGTGAATGTTGAAGACTAGGGATTGAACACTTGTTTCATCTGGTAAATTTTCTTTTTTCTTACAAATGCCTCAGTCAAATTTTCTTCGGTGAATGATGTAATTCTCCCCTCCATTCCTACGGCCTCAAATGCTTAACAGAAATTTGAAATTATCAGCATAGTCAGCAACCATCAAAGAAATAACAGAACCAGTTACAAAATGATGTGATGGGCTTTCCAATTAAACAAAAAGAACTAAAGAAAGAAAAGAGAACAACATTGAGAAAGCATAACCAACCATTAATAGAGTTCTTTTGGCTACCTTCCGAAAACCACTCTTCCTTTCCTCAAAGTTCCAGAATTTGGTTCGGAAAATGCTGTGTTTCAAGTATCTACTATCAATAACAATTTGCTCTATGCAAGAAGCATGCAGGAGATACAAACATAGAACATTTGGAAGCTCACCAGGGAAATCTTAAGAACAGGATTGAACTCCTGTTTCATCTGGCAAATTATCTTTTTGTTTACAAGCGCTTCAACAAGGTTTTATTCCTTAAATGAGATGAATTGGTCCTGCAGTTCTATCGCCTCCAGTATTGACTCTGATGATCACTTCTTCACATACGTCAAAGAAATAAACATAATACTCTGATATGCTTCCTAATTAGAAATCAAGAAACAAAGAAAGAACAGAAAGCAGCATTGAGAAAGCATATCCAACCACTGATTGAGTTCTCTGGACCACGCTTTTAATGCCATTAATTCCTCCTCTCCTTGATAAGGTGAAATGCTGGACTGAGACGATAAATATTTGATGAAATATGAAACCATAAATTGAAAATTATACAGCTTTTAGTTAAAATAAGAAAAGAGCTTAAAATTACCAGAAAATTGATGTATGAAAAGTGGGATTATGACCTCTAAGAAGCACAGATACATCAGATATTTCCTGGCATGTCACTATTTTCCAGCATGATACAGTTTTGTTGATCAAATTTGATCCCTGATTTTAATAAGCTCAAACAGAAGTAATGTCTTAATATAGGTAGCAATTCATGACATCTTAAACTTGCCTCTCTGCATATTATAAAAATAACTAAATCATAACACAATGTTGTGAAGTGCTTTTAAACATCAGCAAGGAAGAAAGAAAAGAGAAATTCACAACCAACCATTAACTAAGTTCTTCTGACTACTATTCTAACACCTATTATCTTCCATAGCGCAGAATGCTGCACTGAAACAATGACTATTTGGTGAAACTTGAAAGTATAAATAGAAAATTACATGCTTTAGTACAAAATGACAGAAAAAACCACTTAAACATTTTCCAAGCCAGACAAAATTTAAACAGCATGAAATGCTAGTTTACTAAGTAAATGTGAAGACCAGGTTTTGTGCAATTGTTTCATCTTGTAAATTTTCTTTTTGCTTGCAAGTGACTCAATCAAGTTTTCTTCAGTGCATGATGTAATTTTGTCCTCCATTGTCGCAACCTCAAATGTTTAACAGAAATTTGAATTTATCAGCATAGTTAGTAACCATCAAGAAATAGCAGAACCAATTTTCTTCAGATATGCTTTCACATTAAACATCAAGCATTAAAAAAAGAACAGAGAGAAAAATTGAGAAAGCATAACCAACCATTAATTGAGTTTGTTCAGAAACTCTGCAAAAACCATTCTTCCTCTCTCCCATGCCGCAAAATGCATCTCTGGAACAGTAAATATTTTGATGAAATATGAAACCTCAAATAGAAGATTACACATCTTAGTAAAAAGGAATTTGGGAAAAAAAAGCACATACTTGAATTGGGGTTATAAAATACTTAAAAGTCCGGTAAAGGGAAATTAATAACTGCTTTCAATAAGCTCAAACAGAACAAATTTCTTAGTACATATAACACTCTTGGTTTAGGAAAAGACTGCAAATTGGTTTCATATTTCAACCTTGATTCTTGAGCAAATTCATGACATCTTAAACTTGGCTGCCTGCAACAAAATTAAATTTTAGTAGAGAGAACATGGCTTTTCAACGTCCCCCCTTAGTAGATAGAGATAACAAAGAAAAGAAGTCTTTCTCAATGAGTCATCAAATGATTTCATTGAGGGAATCCACTGTAATTTGAGAAGCTCCCTGAGAAAAGTAAGAGAAAGCAAGCTCCTCTCTTCCATATTGGTTCTATGGTTCAAATTTGAAACTGTGACCGAAAAGAAATTTGCATGCCTTATTAAAAAGAAAATAATCGCATAAAAAATATAACATATGATTAATCTCATAGTAGATATTTCCAACTTCATTCTGCCAATTTCTGTCATATATATTGATCATATTTCAACATTGATTCTTCATGATTTTCATGGCATTTAAATTCAATTCAGTGCATCAAAACTAACATAAACAGGTAAAGTTTTCTTAAGAAGTAAATGGCTTTTTAAATTTTCAATATCCTCAAGCTAGAAAAATTGAGAAAACCAACCTCAGTGACTCATCCAAGTGTTTCATGAAGGGAATCCAGAGCAACTGGGGAAGCTCCCTGGCATAAGACAAAGGCATTGACAGTTATTTAACGTAGCTGTTCACATTATTCTTTGAAATATGTAGGTACAAATTTCTTAAAGCTCTGTTTTAAAAAAAATAAAAAAATAAAAAAAAAATTCAAATTTTTGTATTTTCAAAGGATTGTAAAGTATGTTGGATATCAAATTTTCTTAAAGCTCTGTTTTGAAAAACAGTTTTCTGTTTTAAAAAATTTTCTTTGAAAATGCCCAACAACAGCTGAAAAATTTGTCTTATAATTAAATCCTTTACAAAGTTAGGAAAGGAGTTTTCTATTTACCAAAATTACTGTTGTGAAAGCTGTTACTAAATGTGTTTTTCACTTGATCCAAATGCTCTGTTTCAATTATCTATTCAATAACAATTTGTTATATGCAAGAAGCATGCAGGAGATACAATGTGGATCATTGGAAATGTTAATAACAGGATTGAGCCCTTGTTTCATCTTGCAAAGTTTTCTTACATAAATGAGATAAACTGGTTCTGCATTTTTATGACCTCCAGTATTTACTCTGACGATCTCTTCTTCACTTACATCAAAGAAATAAACATAATACTGTGATATGCTTCCTAACTGGAAATCAAGAAACAAAGAAAGAACAGGAACCATCATGAGAAAGCTGAAATATGAAACTATAAATTGAAAATTATACGGCTTTTAGTTTAAATTAAAAAACAGATTAGCAGTACCAGAAAAATGATGTAGAAAAGTCAGATTATGACCTCCAAGAAGCACAGATACATCAGATATTTCCTGGCCTGTCACTATTTTCCAGTATGATACAAAGTTTTCCTGTTCATCAAATTTGATCCCTGGTTTTAATAAGCTCAAACAGAGTTTTTTTCCAATAAGGTACAATTTGATCAAGAAAAAAAATGCAACAAGAGCCAAGAAAACATTAACAATGATACAAACCTTGATTCTTAAACTTCTTAATGCATCATAAAACCTTGATTCTTCAGCAAACTCATGACATCTTAAACTTCCCTTTCTCTGCATCAAATGAACATATCAAAATCAAGTTTAATAGCGAGAGAAAACATGGCTTTTCAATGTCCCTGCTAAGTAGAGAAGGCTCCCTGAAGAAAGAGCAATCCAACAGTTTCATATAAATACTAAAGAATTTACAGTACCATTAATAGTGCTGTGATGTACTTTCTCATTTAAACATGAAGCAAAAAACAGAAAGTTAAAAAAGCAGAACCAACCGTTTGAATCCTTGAGTACATACTGTCCTACATTTATCCTTCATCTCTTCCACATTTGTTCGAAGGTATATATTTGGAACTGTGTCAAATAGAGATTGCATGCCTTAGTAAAGGAAAAGATCACGACGTTATCATTATCAGACATGAAAAGTATGAATGACAGTGATATGCTAATTCAAGAATCATGTAGGAGATAGAAATATAGATTTGATGCCAGCTCACCAAGAAATGTGAAAACAAAACATTCAGCACTTGTTTCACCAGGCAAAGTTTCTTCTTGTTACAAATGCTGTCATTGCTTTAAAAATGGTCCTTTACTGCTTTGCCCTTGAGTATTTCCTGCACAGATGAGAGACAGAAACTGCAGACTCTCAGCATATATAGAGCCATTGAAACGTAAATCACTTCAGCATTTAGAGTCAATAACAGAATCAGAAACACAAAGCAGTGACATGCTTTCCATTTAACATGAGAACTGAAGATAGTAAAGATTAGTGAGAAAGCATAACAAACCATTACTAGTGTTCTTCCTATAGCCTCCTACAGCTATTCTTCTTCTCTTCCATAACTGAAAATTTGATGAAATAGAAACTAAAAATAGAGAATGCATGCCTAGAATGAAGAAAAATGATGTTAATATCTAAATGATGTTTAATATGATATTCAGATATTGTTTCAGAATTAAAAATTCAGTTGTCTTGTAGTATTATTTTTCTCAATTCATTGGACCCAAATTCATAGAAATTAAAGGAAGCATGTGGAACTAACAGAATCATACAGTTCCACTACAAGGATTGTCTCTGTTTTAATATAAAAGGGCAGCTGGAAAATATAGATGAATGCTGCTTACCAAGAAAGCGTGAAACCAAAGATTTAGCACTTGTTTCATCAGGCAAATAGCTTTTTGTCAGAAGTGCCTCAATGAGTGACCACCATGACAGATAAAAATTGGTCCTTTATTGGTTTGAGCTGGAGTATTTTCTCTACTGATCGGTGAAATGAAATTGTAAATTCTCAGGATAGTACCCCAATAGTAAATCAGTTCTGCAAATAAAGAAATATTGAATTAGAACACAATGTTTTGAAGTGCTTTTAAACATCAGAAATGAAGAAAGAAAAGAGAAATTCACAACCAACCATTAACTGAGTTCTCGTTCCGACACTCTTCATAACCCATTACTTCCAGAGACAAAATGCTGCATTGAACTATAAATAGAAGAACAATACAAATGCATGCCTTAGTATAATTAATTAATATATATTTTTTAATTTAATTAATTAACTCCGCAAATACGATCTCTAGTACAAGGCCCATGTACCTTATTTGTATTAATGGGCCAATCCATTCTTAATTTTATAATTACATTCAAGAAATTGTATTCCTATTTTTCTAAACAATCTCTTTCATTTCAATGAAAAGTGAATATCAAGAAAATTAACTTAGGAATGGGAAGTAAATTTACTAATTGTTGAATTTGGACCATTAAATTACCTCTAAATCTATGACAAATATTACTTAAACACATGAAATTTGAATAATTGATTAAATATTCAATCAGAAATGGATGCATTTATTTAAACAAAATAAAATATTTACCTCTCATTTTCCCCTACAACCAACAATCATAAATATCTTTCATTGTTGTTTTACTGCTTTGCCCTTGAGTATTTCCTTCACAGATGAAGACAGAAATTGTAAAGTCTCAGCATATATAGGAAGGCATTGATTTGAAACAGTAAATGACTTCAGCACATTAAAGAATCAGAAATACCTTATATTATACTGTATTAATAACCAAATCCATTCTTGTTTTGATTTTGATGAAATAAATTAATTTTATAAACTAAAAATACATTCAAGAAATTGTATTCTATTCTATATTTAAAATACCGAATAATTGCATTATGTTAAAATACAACAACTAATTTGGTTAAACAAGTGGAGTAGAGTATATATAAACATAATCATTCAACAAATCCAATGCATTTCCTCTCAATCATTCTTTTATCATTTCTATTTTCCTTTAAACAACTGCCAATGTATCCATAATCAAATCATACTTAATTAAAATTGGCATGTATTCATATTATATTTACTATTTCTTTCATTTCCACCATTATTTCTATTTCAATTACCTCTAACTAAATCTATCATTATCATTTAACTTAAAACACATGCCTTTTTTCAATTTCTTTCTCATTCATTTATTATTCAATCACAAATACTTTTATTTAAACAAAAAAAAAAATATTACCTCTCACTTTCACCCTTCATCAATCGTAGCCTAGCAGAGGACAACCGTGAATAACTTTTTTCAATGTTGTACTCTGAACAATGTGGTTTGGCAATGCCTTCAATTTTTGGCAGATGCTAATTATCAACTCAACCAAAGATGGCATGATTGTAATATCTTCTTCTTCTCCCTTTCTTGTAATCTCATAATCCCACTCTTCCCATTCATACATATGCCTAAAAGTGAGATATTTCAATTTGGGGAAGGAAATAAATGATGAAGATGTGCCATCACTTTCTATTCCCAAAAATTCATTACTCACTCTTGTCAAACTCCTCATTTGATATATTTCCAAATATTCAAGGGATGGCAATTTTCCCAAGGGAGGCAAATGCTTCAAGTTTATGCAATTATAAAGTTTTAATTCCCTGAGCTTGGTTAAGGACATCATCCAGTTGGGTAAAATAGTGTTGCCTCTGTAAACGATTATTACTAATTCCTCCAAATCTAAAGGTGGTTGTAAGATTTCAAGAAGTGCTTCATCGTCCTCATCCGTCCTCTCTCCTTCATCTTTTTCGAAATCCAGAGATAAATGAAGTAGGTTTTCCTGATTCTTGAGCTCTGATCTTCTAGCTTCATCCACATTTGATACATTTCCCAACTTTCTTATATGCAACACTCCAAAGAGGTTAAGGTATTTCAAACCTTCAAGGCTGCATGTTTTATTATCAGTACCACCACCACCACTCACAACGAAGAACCTTAAGGTTCGGAGATTAGTCAATCTTTGAATTCCTAGTGGCATGTATCTTAATGACCAGACCCCATCATTTTCTAGATGCCTTAGATTTATTAATTTTCCAATCCCTTGAGGTAATTCTTCCAATACTTCACAATCACTAATGTCTAAAGTTTGCAAATTATATAATCCACATAATTCTTCTGGAAGTTTTCTCACTATTAGTGCTCTCAAATTAACATATCTCAAATGTATCAATTTTCCAATCTCTTTAGGAATGTCTTGAATCACAGTTTCACCCAATCCACCTATGGTTAATGCCTTTAAACATGTCAACCCACCAAATAATTTTGGTAAGATATTAGGAGCCAATGGATATGAGGAACCTTCAGAATTATATAGGAAACTACGAATCCTTCTGAGACTAAAAATGGGATCAGGAAATGAACTTTCTCTAAGAATTGTTACCATCAAGTGACAAACTTGCTCATGATAAGAAGAGTTTATGATTGGATCCTTAAGACCGTCAACTTCTATCGACATACATTCATTCTTACTTAGGAATTGGGCAAAGTCATGCACTAAATCGTGCATCTTACATGTTATGATGTTATTGTCATCATCTATTTCAAACTCTTGAAAGAATGATCGTGATGCTAAATAATCAAAGTACTCTTCACCAACTATCTCCATCACCTTATTTTCTTCTTTTTTAAGATATCCTTGAGCCATCCATAATTTAATCAAATAATCTTTCTCTATTATATGATCCTTAGGAAAGACAACACAATATACGAAACATCGTTTTATCATAGAAGGCAAATCATTATAACTCAATAATAATGGCCGAAAAATATCTTCTTCAAATTTTTCAAGTTTCCATAATTCACTATTTAAGATATTTTCCCATTGTTCCTTGTGTTTCTTAAAGCGTAAGAGACTCCCAATAGTCTTTACAGCAAGAGGCAAACCCTTGCACTTACTTAAAATTTGTCTACCAATATCTTCAAATTTTTTACACTCCGCTTGAGACATACCAAAAAATGCTAATCGCCTAAATAACAACCAACATTCTTCCTCCGGCAACTCATCAACATTTATAATATCACTTGATCCCATCATACGTGTAACCGACTCCTTACGTGTAGTAATCAAAATTTTACTTCCATGGAGGCCATTCTTCAAGCAATGATACAATGGTTCCCATTTTTTGTAATCCTCATTCCACACATCATCTAAGATCAAAAGAAATTTCTTTCCCATAATAGACCTATTAATATGTTCAAGAAGCGAATTTAATTCTCTTAAATTTGAAGCAGAATCCTCTAAAGCCTCAATGACTGCTTTAGCAATCCTATATTCATCAAAAGGCTCAGATACACATATCCACATCCTACAGTCAAAACTATTTATTACCTCATTATCGTTATAAGCAAATTGAGCCAAAGTTGTTTTACCAATTCCTCCCATCCCTACAATAGAGATGATAGGAAGGTGTTGTTCACTATTGTCACACAACTTACGTACTAAAGTATTCTTATCCTCAACTCGACCATCTATATCGGACACATCAACAAATGAAGTACTGTGTACTCGGTCGGAATTCCCAGCACTTCCACTCACATTAAACTTATACCTATCTTTTTGTTTCGCAATGACATCTAAATTTTCATTGACTTCTTTTATCTTCATCGCAATGTCATGACGTAAAACAACTTGACGTAAACTAACTTGTTTGAATGAAAAGCAAGAGGAGGGAAAGAAGAAACACACCTTCTTCTTAGGAACAGCAGCATATTCAACTCCCTCAATTTGTTGTTTCAACATGGCATAGTTCCACTCATCCAACACATCTTCAATGTCGTAGGATGCGTGTTTGAGCCGATCTAACCAAAGTGTTACAGTTTTCTCCTTCACTTGTCTTTCCTCTGCATCAACGAGCACAGCTTCAATATCTTCAAGATTGCTCCTAAGCTTTTTGACTTCCTCGTCGACACCAACAACTAGCCTCACCTCCTGTATCCCCTCCTGTATCCCTCCAGCAGTTATTGAAATGAGCTGCTCCAAGACAGCGGAAATAATAGCTTCAGCCATAATCAGAGAAGGTAAATATTTGTAAGAAAAAAGGAGCAAGAGATTTTTTGTGAAGATTTTGACGTTCTTTGAATTCTTATAATATATAGATGAAGCTAGAAACCAACAAATGTGACATAATTGAAAAGGACCCACGCGCCTTTGATTGATGCCCATAATTCAATAAAAGTTATGCCAACTTTAATGGCAAATCCCTTTAAATAGCAGAGTCAGCAATGGTGTGCCTTGTAGGCCAGCACCTTTGAATCATCTTTTGCCCTGTTCATGTATGGTTGTGTCGTATTAATACTTTTTATACATAAAGCAGAAGTTGCAATTGATGCTTGGAATCCGGTAAAAGTGAATTAATCAGTAATGCTTTGCTTTGTTGGCCTGCATTTAATGAAGTGTCAAACTTTTGTTTCCTTTATTATTGCTAAAGAATTAAATCTCCATTTTTAGTCTAAATTTTGTACATCTTTCTCCATTAATGGGACCCAAATCTTATTATGTTCATCATTTTAAATTTAAAATACGATTGATGGGCTACATGTGAAATTCAAGTTTGGTTAATTATCCAAAAAGGACAGCAAGTTCTAAATATTACAGAATCATCAACAACCTGGTTTTAAGAATCACCAACAGCATCGATATTTTTGTTTGTGAGTTTTGTTAAGCCCTATTTTCAGATGAGTAGAAATTGGGATTTTTGGCTCGTTTGATCTGGGAGATTACTACTGGACATTAGCATATATATATATATATATATATATAAAAGCAAATGTTACAACAAGTAGTTGTATAAAAATGTATCTATCATTGAAATAAACAACAAATTTTTAACTTGATCTCACAACTCATCAATAAGTTGTTTTACATTGATGTTGATAATATATTACCAAACCGATTGAAAAGAGAATTGTCTTGGTGGATAATAATTGGTGGTGTTGAGTTATGTGGGGTAGCGGGGATAATGGACTGGTTGGTTTCAGCCATTTACTTTCAGATGCGAAAGAAAGGATTGTGATGGTGGTTTCCGGGTTTGGGCTACGGAATACGAAATTCAATTCATGTTGAGCAGATTTCCTAGGATCGGAATTGCTCTGACACCATCTTGAACAATGGAGTCCCTGAATAATTATATGTATATTTTCTCCTCTAAGTTGGAGGCAATTTATAGATACAATTACATTGTGAAAGTAGGAAACAATCCTATTCTAAAGAAACTAAATATTCTTATATTTAATATATAGATCCTATTCTAAGGAAACTAAATATTCTTATATTTAATATACAAGATCCGTTACCTAACCAAATGTGTTTCTATATTTACAACACACAGACAGCTCATGCCAACACTTCCCAATAACTCCAAGGCAAAAGGTGCAGATTTTGGGTTCCTTCAAGCTGTGGCAAACAGCCAACAGCAGTTTGAAGAGAATCTGACGCTCTCTACTAAGGAACTCTATTATCATCACCATAATCACCAAGAAGATGCAGTTGTTTCCACTATGGAACTGGAGCTTCAAAAGCATCTGACCTTCAATGTGGAAAACTACAATAACAATATGCATAGACCCTTTGCTACGAAGCAGCAAAGGAGAAAACACTTGTACACTACCTCAAGGAGTTTGGTTCCTAACCCTACCAAGGTATGAACGAAATAGAGATAAATACGAGAACAAAATAATAGCAAAACAAATCACAGACAATAAATAGAGAAAATAAAACGTTCGATTTCTCCTGGTTCACCCAATATAGGTTGTGTCCAGATGAGTTAATATTATTGCAATATTATCTCACCTCTCTCGTTTACAATGAATGAATTGTGCTATGATTACTATCACACTCATAAAAAGAGAAAAATATGTTTATATACTATATTTAAAAAACTAAACCTAGTTTTACCAGGATTCCTATTCCTAAGCCTAAATCCAATAAGGAATTAATAACTTAAAGAAATCTTACAACGGCTCTTCATGAAAAAGGCCGAAGCCACCTACAAGCCCGAAGGCACTACCCCCACGACCCCTACTTGCTCACCGAGGCCCCTGAATGCGTTTGCGTAACCCATTAATGCTGAAGTAGTCAACAACTTTCTATTCTCTTTAATAACAAGGTAATGTTTATAACTTTATGTTATATGATACCAAATGCTAATATAACAATTTTACACATATAACAAAGTCTGATAGAGCCTCAATTCTGGGAGATGCTATTGAGTACATCAGAGAGCTTCTTAGAACTGTTAACGAGCTCAAATTACTGGTCGAGAAAACAAGATGTGGTAGAGAGAGAAGCCAGAGGCACAAGAAAGAAGACGTGCTGCAGGACTGGAGATGTTGAGAGTTATATTATATTGTATTAATAACCAAATCCATTCTTTGATTTTGATGAAATAAAATTAATTTTATAAAACTAAAAATACATTCAAGAAATTGTATTTCTATTCAGGAGAGGAGACCAATCTCAATCTCGTTTCATTTCAATGTAAAGATAATGAAATGAAAAGTGAATTAAAATTTACTTCTTCCAAAAGCTGCTGCACTGAAACAATGGAGTTATTCCCTGAAATTTGAAGGTATAAATAGAGAAGAATATTACATAATCCGGAAAATATTGATCTCTATAGTACAAGTCACCAACAAAAATATAAATATATACATGTATTTCTATTTCTATAATTTAAAATACCGAATAATTGCATTATGTATAAAACTACAACAACTAATTTGGTTAAAACAAGTGGAGTATATATAAACATAATCATTCAACAAATCCAATGCCATTTCTCTCTCAATCATTCATTTTATCATTTCTATTTTCCTTAAAACAACTGCCAATGTAAACATAATCAAATCAATACTTAATTAAAATTGGCAATGTATTCATATTATATTTACTATTTCTTTCATTTCCACCATTATTTCTATTTCAATTACCTCTAACTAAATCTATCATTATCATTTAACTTAAAACACATGCCTTTTTTCAATTTCTTCTAATTCATTAATTATTCAATCACAAATACTTTTATTTAAACAAAAATAAAAATAAAATAAAATATTACCTCTCATCTTCCACTTCATCAATCGTAGCTTAGCATAAGACAACCATAAATATGTTTTTCCAATGCTGTATTCTGAACAAGGTGGTTTGGCAGTGCCTTCAATTTGGGACAATAAAAAATTCTCAAGTCAACCAAAGATGGCATGATTGTAATATCATCTTCTTTTTCTCCCTTTCTTGTAGTCTCATAATCCCACTCTTCCCATTCATACATATCACTAAAAGTGAGATATTTCAATTTGGGGAAGAAAATAAATGATGAAGATGTACCATTATTTCTATTTCAATTACCTCTAACTAAATCTATCATTATCATTCAACTTAAAACACATGCCTTTTTTCAATTTCTTCTAATTCATTAATTATTCAATCACAAATACTGTTATTTAAACAAATATAATAAAAAAAATATATTACCTCTCATCTTCCCCTTCATCGATGGTAGCGTAGCAAAGGACACCCCCAAATATATTTTTTCAATGTTGTATTCTGAACAATGTGGTTTGGCAATGCCTTCAATTTGGGACAATAAAAAATTGTCAAGGAAACAAGAGATGGCATGATTGTAATATCATCCTCTTTTTCTCCCTTTCTTGTAATCTCATAATCCCACTCTTCCCATTCATCCATATTAAGAAGCGTGAGAGTTTTCAATTTGGGGAAGAAAATAAATGATGAAGATGTGCCATCACTTTCTATTCCCAAAAATTCATTACTCACTCTTTTCAAACTCCTCATAAAACTTATTTCCAAAGATTCAAGGGATGGCAATTTTCCCAAGGGAGGCAAATGCTTCAAGTTTATGCAATAATAAAGTCGTAATTTCCTAAGCTTGGTTAAGGACATCATCCAGTTATGCGAAATAGTGTTGCCTCTGTAATCCCATATTTGTAATTTCTCTAAATTTAAAGGTGGTTGTAAGATTTCAAGAAGTGCTTCATCATCCTCATTCATCCTCTCTCCTTCATCTTTACTGAAATCCAGACATAAATGAAGGAGGTTTTTCTGATTCTTGAGCTCTGATCTTCTAGCTTCATCCACATTTGATACATTTCCCAACTTTTTTATATGCAACTCTCCGAAGAGGTTAAGGTATTTCAAACCTTCAAGGCTGCATGCTTTATTATCATTACCACCACCACCACTCACAACAAACGACCTTAAGGTTCAGAGATTAGTCAATCTTTGAATTCCTATTGGCATGTATCTTAATGACCGGACATCTTCATTTTCTAGATGCCTTAGATTTATTAATTTTTCAATCCCTTGAGGTAATTCTTCCAGATTTGTACAATCACTAATGTCTAAAGTTTGCAAATTATATAATCCACAGAATTCTTCTGGAAGTTTTCTAATGTTTAGACCATGCAAATTAAGATATCTCAAATGTATCAATTTTCCAATCTCTTTAGGAATGTCTTCAATCACATTTTCAAGCCAATCTGACTCTCCACCTATGGTTAACGCCTTTAAACATGTCAACTCACCAAATAATTTTGGTAAGATATTAGGAGCCAATGGATCTGAGGAATCTTTAAAATTATATAGGAAATTGCGAATCCTTCTGAGACTAAAAATGGAATCAGGAAATGAACTTCCTCTATGAATTGTTACCATCAAGTGACAAACTTGCTCATGATAAGAAGAGTTTGTGATTGGATCCTTAAGATCGTCAACTTCTATCGAGATACATTCATTCTTACTGAGGAATTGGGCAAAGTCATGCACTAAATCGTGCATCTTACATCCTATGATGTTATTGTCGTCATCTCTTTCAAACTCTTGAAAGAATGAGCGTGATGCTAAGTAATCAAAGTACTCTTGACCAACTATCTCCATTACATCATTTCCTTCTTGTTTGAGATAACCATGAGCCATCCATAATTTAATCAAATAATCTCTTTCTATGATATGGTCCTTCGGAAAAATGGCACAATATGTGAAACATCGTTTTATCTTGAAAGGCAAATCATTATAACTCAATTGTAGAGGACCGAAAATATCTTTTTCAAACACTTCAAGTTTCCACAAATCACTATCTAAGATATTTTGCCACTCTTCTCTAGTTTTTTTAAAGCGTAAAAGACTACCAGTAGTCTTTGCAGCAAGAGGCAAACCTTTGCACTTGTTTAAAATTTTCTTGCCGATCTCTTCTAGATTTTCACACTCCTCTTGAGACCTACCAAAAAATGAAAATTGCCTAAACAACCCCTAACATTCGTCATCGGGCAATTCTTTGACATGAATAATGCTAATTGATTCCGTCATACATGCCACTGATTCCATCATACGTGCCACTGATACTTTACGTGTAGTAACCAGAATTTTACTTCCACGGAGACCATCTTTAAACAATGATATAATGGTGCCCATGTTTTGTCGTCATCTGACCACACATCATCCAAGATAAGCAAAAATCTTTTTTCAACAATACAGTCACTAATACGATCTAAAAGCGATTGCAGTGTATCTAAATTCGGAGTAGAACCTTCTAGAGACTCGAGGATTGCTTTGGCTATCCTGTTCTCATCAAAAGGTTCTGACACACACACCCAAATTGCTTTACCAAATTTGCTTATCACCTTATTGTCTTTAGAAGCAAATTGAGCAAGAGTAGTCTTACCGATTTCCCCCATCCCTATAATAGAGATGATATGGGGTTGTTGTTAACTATTCTCACACAACATGCGTACCAAATCATTTTTTTCTTCAACTCGACCATATATACCAGACACATCAACAAATGAGGTACTTTGTACTCGTTTGGACTTCCCAACACTTCTACTCACTTTAAAATCATACTTATCTTTTTGTTTCACAATCGCATCTAACTTTTCATTGAATTCCTTTATCTTGACTGCAATTTCATGACGTAACCCAACTTGTTGGTACGAAGAGGAAGAGGGAGAGGAAAGACGTACCTTCTTAGCAAGAACCCCCTCAATTTGTTGTTTCAGCGTAGCATAGTTCCACTCATCCAACACGTCTTCAATGTCATTAGACAAGTACTTGAGCTGATCTAACCAAAGTCTGACGTCTCTCTCCTTCATTTCTCTCTCCTCTGCATCAAGGAGCACAGCTTCAATAGCTTCAAGATTGCTAGTGAGCTTTTTCACTTTGTTATGCCTGCGAAAATAAGGGCTGACGTGGGAAAGTCACGTGAAGAGTGACCTGCTCCTGTCAGAGCAACACGCACACGTCAGACCTGTTACATGATATGGAGCTCACACGTGTCCATTTCCCTGCAATAAATCGTGCGAAGTCAGCTTGGGAAGAGAGCAATGGGACATAAAGCCGGATTATATCCTGACAATCACACCAACCCATGGATTTAATGATGATTACACGCTTCAGTTTGATATAAAATGAAGAGGACCCCTTCATTAAGGGGATTCGGCCATTTTTTACAAAGACTCTCTCTCTCCTGTAAACACATTTACTTTTCATAATTCCTCTGTAAGTCAGTCCGCTTTGCGACCTGACCCACACTAATAACAATACACATCAGTAGACGTAGGACTTGCTACCTTAGCATCCGAACCACTTTAAAAGCTTTCTCTGCATTTATTTCACTTTGTATATCCATTATCACGTGTGTTAATCCACCAATCAGCAATACGCACGTGACTATTAGTTGGTGCCAAAAACGAGCATCAACAGTTTGGCGCTAGAAGGAGGGCTGATTTAGTGTCTACCCTTCATCAGGAGAATCTTTGACCTACTGGTCTTACAGCTACAAATGGCCCGTCAATCTGGACCTGAGCAGGTGAACCAGCATGCTGAAGGAGTCCCCCCAGCCTAGAGGGACACCCCTTCCAACATACCTCCAGCTTCGCACAATGCTACCGGGGAAATCCCGGCAGCTCCGCAATTAGACCCTGCTATTAGAAGCTACCTTGAGAGGTTTGATAATACTCTCCAGACGGTCAACCAGAGGTTGGACCGTTTGGACCAAGGCATGTCATCTACGACAGCCGGAGCGGTACAATTGCCAAAGACGCCTGCAGGTCACGCGAAAGCGCGGCAAAGGGCGATAGCCCGTGCCGCGAGCGCTGCAGCGCGTAAGCGCAAGGGTAAGCAAGTGGCAAAAAGTAAGCCTACGGGCTCCCAAGGGCCAGCAAACGCGAAAGGCGCCCCGAGCAGGGTGTCGGCAAAGCTGAGACTCGGTGAAAAAGTGAATCTCGAGCTGTCCCATGCCACGTCGCAGGCCAACCCAAGCAAAAATGCTGGGTGCGATGATTCCTATCATCACCAGCAGAACGATCCCGATCGTTATGCGGATGGCTCCCACACCCCGCGGGGCGGTTCGTACCACCGCGAGGGTCGTGAAAGTGCCCCGCACAATCCATCACCTTCACGCGCCTCTAGTCAGTGTGTGTCAAGTGCGGTCGAAAATGTTGGCTGAGGCGAGGAGGAATCCGACCTCCGGACTTTCCTGAACTGTAACCGAGAAGGTCGGGCTCGCACGGGTGAAAGCAACCCCCAATTAGCTCCGTTACCGCAAATTGAAGAGCTGTAGCGAGCTCTGGACAGGTTACGGGAGCAGCAAAACGAACAGGCGCAGGTCGCCTCTACATCCCTTTTTTCTCCCGAAGTGTTAGCTGTTCCACTTCCACCGGGATTCAGGATGCCAGATATGCGGCCGTTTGATGGAAACTATGATCTGCAAGATCATTTATATGAGTTCAACGACCTGATGGAGCTCCACCAGGTTTCGGACCTTGCGAAATGTCATTGTTTGGCCGTGACGCTGACTTCTCAAGCCAAACGGTGGTTAAGGTCGCTCCCGACGGGATCGATCAGTTCGTGACCTCAGATGAGCGCGACGTTCCTGCGGCATTTCCAAGCCAATCAGAAATTCTCGATGCCTTTGAGCTACCTCAGCAACATAAGGCAAGAAAGAGACGAATCCCTGCAGTCTTACATTGACCGCTTCCACAGGGAACTCAACAAGGTAGCTCATGCCCCAGAAGAGTCCATCCGAACTCTTATAATAGCTGGAGTTCGCCCGCAAACCGACCTGTGGAAAGAACTGCAGGCTGAGGACGATATTTCCCTCACCAGATTCTACAACCTGGCAGAAAAGTATTTCCGAATAGAGAATTCATTGGCGGCACTCCGCCGTCGCGATCACGACACTTCCAGCAGTATGTTAGGTCGGGGAGACAATAGGCGAGCTGATCGTAAGGGAGACATTGACGATTAGCGAAAAGGGAAGAAACCCCGCTTCGAGCAGAAAAAGTCCTATGCTCCTGTCCCCCGTCGCGACCGCGACAGGACCCAATACACTCCGTTGAATGTGTTCATATCTACGATCCTCGACAAATCCGAGGAAGCTAGCCTGCTCGGTGAGCCTGAACCAATGAAAACCCCTGCTACGGCTAGAAACAACAAAAAATACTGCCGTTATCATCGGGATAATGGGCATCTCACCGATGAGTGCCGAGCTCTAAAGCAGGCTATCGAAGAGCTTATCAAGAAAGGGCACTTCAAGGAGTATATTGATGACTCCCCGAAAGAAGGCCAAGGGGAACGAAAGAAAAAGCGTTGTGATCGCAGCAGGTACGATAGTGTTAACATAATTTTCAGAGGACCGCACCTCACGGGAAATACGCGAGGAGCGCAGGAAAGGTATGCTCGCGAAGCGCACCATGACCCGATCAGGGTAATGAACACTTCGCAGCGACCTCAAAAAGCCAGAAAAGAGGAACCAATCACCTTCTGCGAGAAAGAGACAGCTCGCTTGCACCATCCTCATGAGGATGCTCTGGTGATCACGCCCCTGATAGGGTGTCATAATGTCTGCAGAATGCTTGTAGACAACGGAAGCGCTGTGAACATTCTGTTCAAGTTCGCTTTCGATAGAATGAACCTGGTCGAGGCCAACCTGAAGCCAGCCTCGATGCCTTTGTACGGTTTTACAGGGGATCACCTGATCCCTAAAGGAACGATCTAGCTACCAGTCACGCTCGGCGACTACGACGAGGTGACTAGGGTTACCGAATTTTTGGTCCTGGACTGCCCATCGGCCTTCAATGGAATCCTGGGGTGACCTCTGCTGAGAACCTTCAGGGCAGTCACTTCCATTTATCATCTCAAGATGAAGTTCCCCACTCCATCGGGGATAGGGGAGGTAAGCGAGTCACAAAGCGCATCTCGCGAATGCTATGTAAAAGCAGTCCAAATGGCCGACAAGGGGAAGGGCATTTCGCGATGTGCGCCCCGCCAGGCTATGGCGATCAGCCGGATCGAGCCACAGCCTGGTCCGGCGGAGGATAACATAGATCCGCGAATTCAGGAAATCCCTCCGAGCGGCCCGGTTGAGGATCTGTCCGAAGTTTTGGTTGATCCAGAAGAGCCGAGCCGAGTGCTAAAGATCAGAAGTTGTCTCAACCCTCAGCTCGCTTCCGAGCTGGTAAGCTTCTTGAAGGAGAACATTGACGTGTTCGCCTGGTCGCACGCAGACATGGTCGGGATCAGCCCGGACATTTTTGCCATTCACTGAATGTCAGCAGTGAAGCCAAGCCAGTTCGCCAAAAAATGAGGGCGATGGATCCGGAGCGGTACGCCGCACTGAAATCAGAAGTGGAGAACCTTCTCCGAAATGGATCCATTCGCGAGGCTCTCTACCCGACCTGGATTGCTAACCCGGTCCTGGTAAAGAAGCCAAATGGCAAGTGGCGGACCTATGTAGACTTCAGCGACCTCAACAAAGCTTGCCCGAAAGACAGCTTCCCCCTGCCAAGAATCGATCAGCTCGTTGACGCCACCTCGGGGCACGAGCTGTTAAGTTTCATGGATGCTTACTCGGGATACAATCAGATCCCGATGTATGGACCAGATGAAGAGCATACGACCTTCATTACGAATCGGAGGCTATACTGTTACAAAGTCATGCCTTTCGGCCTCAAGAATGCGGGCGCGACCTATCAGAGGTTGGTCAATCGAATGTTCTCCGACCAAATCGGGAAGACAATGGAGGTCTATGTGGACGACATACTGGTCAAATCCCAGGTCGCCTCAAAACATATTGCGCACCTCGCTGAGATGTTTGACATACTCCGGCTCTACAAAATGAAGCTGAACCCTCTCAAATGTTCATTCGGGGTATCGTCAGGAAAGTTCCTGGGATATATGGTCAATCAGCGGGGCATAGAAATAAACCCCGAAAAGATTCAAGCTCTGCTCGATATGGAAAGCCCGACCAGCAAAAAGCAGGTCATGAGTCTGAACGGGCGAATAGCGGCACTTAGTCGCTTCATATCAAGGCTAACAGACCGCTGTTTACCATTCTTCAATGTTCTGAAAGCCAATAAGAAATTCGAGTGGACTTCCGAATGCGAGCAGGCATTCCAAAGTATAAAAGAGCATCTTGGGAAGCCACCACTCCTCTCTAAGCCTCTTCCACGAGAAATCCTGCTCATCTACCTGTCCGTGTCTCAGTTCGCGGTCAGTGCGGCTTTAATACGAGAAGAGGAAAAAGTTCAGTGGCCGGTATATTATGCAAGTAAGCGTCTATCGGATGCCGAGATGCGGTACCCGGAAATGGAGCGACTAGCTTTTGCCCTGCTGGTCGCGTCCAGAAAGCTGCGACCTTACTTCCACGCCCATACAATCAATGTAATGACGAGTTACCCTCTCAGGCAGGTCCTCCAGAAACCGGAGGCCTCGGGTAAATTGCTCAAATGGGCCATGGAGCTGAGCCAGTTCGACTTAAGGTACACGCCCAGGTCGACTATCAAAGGGCAGGCTGTTGCAGACTTCATCTCGGAATTTTCCTATCTCCCAAGCGAGCAACAGTCTAGCGAAGTCGGGCAAGAAACTATCCAGAACCTGTCGACATGGAACCTCTACGTCGACGGGTCATCGAACAGGAAAAGAGCCGGTGCGGGTCTTCTCCTGGTAAGCCCCGAGGGGATCCGAATTCATGGTATTCTCCGGTTCGGGTTTAAAGCGACCAACAATGAGTCCGAATACGAAGCTCTGCTCGCCGGGTTGCGACTCGCCAAAGAAATGGGTGCAACCGCGATCAGTATTTATAGCGACTCTATGCTGGTCGTCAACCAGATCCTAGGGGAATACCAAGCCAAGGAAGAGAACATGGTCCGCTACCTGAAAGAAGCTAAGGTCTCTCTGGGGTCGTTTAAGCACTTTGAGATCGCTCAGATCCCCAGGGAAAGCAACTCAATAGCAGACGCCTTGGCAAAGATAGCCTCGTCACTAGATTCAGAGGCTCCTGATAGCATTCCTGTTCGCTTTGTCAACGCTCCAACTATCAGCTCGACCGAACAGGCCGTGAACGAGGTTCAGCCAGATTCCTGGATGACTCCCATTGTCCAGTACCTCAAGGATGGGACCTTGCCTAGCGACAAGGTCGAGGCAAGGGTCCTGCGAGTAAGGTCTGCTCGTTTCACACTCATCGGGGATCAGCTGTACAGGAGAGGATTCAGTGCCCCTCTCCTCCGATGTGTAACCAGTGAAGAAGCAGACTACATCATGAGGGAAATTCATGAAGGGATCTGCGGTAACCACACAGCAGCTCGATCTCTTGCGAACAAGGTTGTTCGTCAGGGATATTATTGGCCCCGGATCCAAGAAGATGCGCACAACTTTGTCAAGAAATGTGACAAGTGCCAGCGGTTCGCGAACATTCCGCGAGCCCCATCTCACGAGCTGATTACTATGTCTAGCCCCTGGCCATTTTCCATGTGGGGGATCGACCTTATCGGCCCCATGCCAGTTGGAAAGGGAGGGGTCAAGTATGCCGTGGTCGCGGTAGACTATTTCACAAAATGGGTTGAAGCCGAACCACTAGCCGCGATCACGACCAGAAAGCTGAAAGACTTCGTTTTCAAGAACATAGTGTGCCGCTACGGAATTCCTCACACCCTCATCTCAGATAATGGAAAGCAATTCGATAATGAGGAGTTCAAGCAGTTCTGCGACGAGCTGGGCATCCATAAAAAATTTGCCTCAGTCGCCAGACCGCAAGCGAATGGCCAAGTTGAAGCAGTCAACAAGACCATCAAGCACACTCTGAAGGCCAAGCTCGGGGCAGCCAAAGGAAATTGGGCTGACGATCTCCCCGAAGTCTTATGGGCGTACAGGACAACTCCAAGAACCTCCACCTCGGAAACCCCTTTTTCGCTAGCCTATGGCTGCGAAGCAATGATCCCTGTAGAGGTCGGAACTGGTTCTCTTCGGAGGGACTTGTACAATGAGGATGAAAACGAAGCACTTATGAGAGCAAGTTTGGATCTGGTCGAAGAGCATCGCAACAAGGCTTCGCTAAGGATAGCAGCCTACCAGCAGCGAGCAAAAAGGTTCTTCGACTCAAAGGTCAAGCGAAGAGACTTCCAGGTCGGAGACCTTGTGCTAAAGGAAGTTCTCCTCGGGACCAGAGAGCCAAGTGCGGGGGTACTAGGACCTAACTGGGAAGGTCCGTACCGGGTCGACAAAGTAATCAGACCGGGGACCTACCATCTCAAAAGATTGAACGGCTCCAAAGTACCCCGAGCTTGGAATGCCGAGCACCTCCGGCCATACTATCAGTAATCCCGAACTCAGCTCTCAGTTTTTGTTAATTTCTTTTCAAGTATTTCTTTGTTCGCTCAAAACAGTTCGCATATGTTCTGTTCGCATGTAAGAATTTATATGTAATCGCTTATGTAAATCACAATTGTAAAGTGTACATATATATGAAAAAGCGAACTGCAATTGTAAAGAAAATATCTTCATTTATGTAAAAGTCAAAAGACCCGATTACAATGGGGACAACTCATTACGCTAAGGCTAAGGCTGGTCGGGGGGATCCTTCGAGCCAGAACCCCCTGCCTGGTCGGGTCCTTGAGCGGCCGCGGCAGTCTGGTCGTCCTCCTCGGCCATGATCCGCAAGGTCGCCTGCCAGCCTTCCGGGAGGTCGGACATGTCCAAGTCTGGATTCCTTGCTCGCAGGGAGTAAATAGCCCCGATTGCCCAGTCTGCGGCCTTTTCCTCCATCTCCTCTGACTGATTCTGCATTTCTTCAGTCAGAGAAGCGATTCTCTCCCGACTCTCCTGGAGTTCGGCCTCAAGAGCTTGCCTTTCCTGTTCGGAGGCCTCCCTATCTTGTTCAGCTCGCTGAGCCCGTGCGAAGGTCGCCTGGATCTCCTGGTCCTTTTCTCCGACCTCCTTAGAGAGCCTGGCGGTTGTCCTTTGAAGTTCCTTAACTTCCTCCGCACGTCGATCGAGCTCCGTCTTTTGGAAGTCCACTGTTCGTAAAGCAGCGTCCTTTTGGTTCAGATACCTGTTCGCCGCTTCGAACGCCTGTGTTCTTTCCGCTTCGACGGACTCCAAGCTCTGCTTCAGCTTCGCGACCTCTTCCTTCAGGTCGCTTGTCCCCTTTGCGGCCCCCAGCCGCGTCTTCTCCATGGACATCCTCATCGCAAGCAACGCCTGCGAGCAAGATATGAGTTAGAAATAAATCAGAATGAAGTTTCAAATACAGCTCGTTTACCTTGCTTAGATGCTGGAACGACGTGGTCATCAGGTCGTCGCCCGTGTCAGCAAACTCGTCGTATGACTCCGATAGCTCGCACTCGAGCAGACCATAGACTATCGGCTGCAGGTATTCGGGCAGACTCCCCAATGAGTCTAGCACTGGTGCGTCCTTCACCTTGCCGGCAGCGACCGCCTCGCTCACGGGCTCCTTGCCCGACCTCCTGGATTCCTGGCGCGTCCTCAGAGGCTCCTCCTCGGATTCGGTCTCAGACTCTTCGGCCTGGACCTGTTTCCTCTTCTTGGACCTTTGGGCCGGAGCCTTCCGCCTTGGGCGAGCAGATGGTGCCTGAGCGACCTGCTCTGTCCTGGTCGCTTCTTGCACAGGACGGGGCTGGGAAGGCGCAGCAGCTCGCAACGGCTGTGCCAGAATAGGACGGGCAGCTTCGACCGCCCTCTCTCTCCTCGATCGAGGGAAGACGAATGGTGCTCGGGCGGGCTGCCCGGACTCCTTTGGGGGCATGGTTTCTGCATTTGAGTTCGTTAGTAAGCAAAATTATTCTACGACCAGAAAGGAACCAGTATAACTTACCTTCTGGGGGTTCTAACGACGCCTTGTCGCTGAAAAAACCGTACTTCCGCAAGTTCGCGGTTGTCACAAGCTTCCTCGCGTCGCGACTATCCTCGTCCAGTACTCCGAAGGATACAAGCCTGTCTGGGTCAGCGAGTAGCGCCTGCTCGGTCGTTCTATTAACTGCAAAACAAAGCAGGTCGTTATTATGGATCAGGCGAGCAGATAATGAACCCAGCGAGAGAAAACCTACTTGGATTTTGAAAACGGCAGTAGCCGTTGTAAAAGAAAAAGAAGAACTTTGTCTCGTAGGCCCCCGCATTGCTGGGATAGCTGTGTATCCCCGCGGCAATGGTAGGTCGCCGAGACAAATAGTACGAGTCCTTGTCCCTACTCTTCTTAAGGTAGTAGGCGACGCCGAGCTCCACCGCCGTTGGCTCTCCCAAGCCGCTTTCGCAGCACGCGATGTACATCGCGACAGCGATGACATACGCGTTTGGCGTCAGCTGCATCGGTGCGATCCCGAAATGATCCAGGACCGACCTGATGAAAGGATGGAAGGGAATCCTCCCTCCACCCTTGAAGATCTCTTCAGAGATCGCGGCAAGGCCATCGGAAGGGCGTCGCGACGACCTGGTATGGTCGAGGAACACCTCCGCGCGGATGTCAAACTGCCTTTTTATCCTATCGAATTCCTCTAAGGTGAGGACCGAGAAGACATCAAGGGACGCGTCCTCGGGAACTTCCCGCGAGGACGAGCTGGCTCCTTCCTCGGGTCTGGATGTTGACGGTTCCATTCCAGTCTGCAACATCGACAGACACGGTCATTTAGGCCTTCGTGTTTGTCCCGTGCGGCGGCAGGGGACAAATTCTTAAACCCTAACAGTAACTCGAGCCGCCGTCCACGGCTCGAATCCAATGACGGCGTCACGTCTCTGGTGAAACACCAGGAGACCCAACGCCATCGCCCAACCAAGCAAATGCAAAGAAAAAGAAGAAGAAGAGAATCTTACCTTCTGGGATGAGTAACCGAGACCGAAACTCGTTTCAGTTGCCTGAGAAGCGCCGATCGGAAAAGAATGGTTTCTGGTTTGCAAAGGTTTGTCACTCGAAACAAAAGAAATTTCGGTGACCTCATCTGAAAAATGCGAGTTTTTATATGGATTGCGAATCGACGGTTACCACCCCTCGGAACCGAAACGACAGCCCACTCTCTCTCCCCGCATTAAATGCGCCCCACGTCGCATTAAATGCCGTGATAATAGTCGTTTCGAACGCGCTGCGCAACTAATGCTGTCAAAACGGCGTCGGGTCAGCACACGATGCATTTAATGTGTCTGACAAACGCTTTAACGCGTGCAGAGCGCCTGACCGCGCAGAACCAGGTTCATTGAATCTCTAAGGTACAGAGAGGAGCGTCCCTCAGATCCAGGTCGCTAAGATGAAGATTGTCAGGTCGCTCTGGCAAGGAATTGCGCGAGATCGTGTTCGCCAAGAGTTCTGTGCCGAGCTCATCCCATTCAGGTCGGAGCGATCAAAAACTCCAGTGTGACTTAGTTTCCAAGGTCCGATCCTCAAACCTTAAAAACTAGGGGGCTTCTGTTATGCCCGGGAAAATAAAGGGCTGACGTGGGAAAGTCACGTGAAGGGTGACCTGCTCCCGTCAGAGCAACACGCACACGTCAGACCTGCCAAATGATATGGAGCTCACACGCGTCCATTTCCCTGCAATAAGTCGTGCGAAGTCAGCTTGGGAAAGGGAAAATGGGACATAAAGCCGGATTATATCCTGACAATCACACCAAACCATGGATTTAATGATGATTACACGCTTCAGTTTGATATAAAATGAAGAAGACCCCTTCATTAAAGGGATTCGGCCATTTTCATACTGAGAAAAACTCTCTCTCTCTCCTGTAAACACATTTACTTTTTCCAACTCTTTTGTAAGTCAGTCCGCAGTTGCGACCTGACCCACACTAATATCAATACAAATCAGTGGATGTAGGACTTGCTACCTTAGCATCCGAACCACTTAAAAAACCCCCTTTGCATTTATTTCGCTTTAGATATTCCATTTTCACGTGTATTTAACAGCCAATCAACGTTACGCACGTGACAATTCGTTGGTGCCAAAAACGAGCATCAACAGTTTGGCGCTAGAAGGAGGGCTGATTTAGTGTCTACCCTTCATCAGGAGAATCTTTGACCTACTGGTCTTACAGCTACAATGGCCCGCCAATCTGAACCTGAGCAGGGGAACCAACATGCTGAAGGAGTCCCCCCAGCCCAGAGGGACACCCCTTCCAACATACCTCCAGTTTCGCAAAATGCTGTTGGGAATACCCCAGCAGCTCCGCAACTGGACCCTGCCATCAGAAGCTACCTGGAGAGGTTCGACAATACTCTCCAGACGGTCAACCAGAGGTTGGACCGTCTGGACCAAGGCATGTCATCTACGACAGCCGGAGCGGTACAACCGCCAAAAACGCCTGCAGGTCGCGCGAAAGCGCGGCAAAGGGCGATAGCCCGTGCCGCGAGCACTGCAGCGCGTAAGCGCAAGGGTAAGCAAGTGGCAAAAAATAAGCCTACGGGCTCCCAAGGGCCGACGAATACAAAAGGTGCCCCGAGCAGGGTATCGGCAAAGCTGAGACTCGGTGAAAAAGTAAATCCCGAGCTGTCCCATGCCACGTCGCAAGCAAACCCAAGCGAAAATGCTGGGCGCGATGATTCCGATCACCACCAGCAGAACGATCCCGATCGTTCTCATGCGGGTGGCCCCCACACCTCGCGGGGCGGTTCGTACCACCGCGAGGGTCGTGAAAGTGCCCCGCACAACCCATCGCCTTCACACGCCTCTAGTCAGCGTGTGTCAAGTGCGGCCGGAAATGCCGGCCGAGGCGAGGAGGAATCCGACCTCCGGACTTTCCTGAACCGCAACCGAGAAGGCCGGGCTCGCACGGGTGAAAGCAACCCCCAATTGGCTCCGTTACCACAAATTGAGGAGCTGCAGCGAGCTCTGGACAGGTTAAGGGAGCAGCAAAACGAACAGGCGCAGGTCGCCTCTGCATCCCCTTTTTCTCCCGAAGTGCTAGCTGCTCCACTTCCACCAGGGTTCAGAATGCCAGATATGCGGCCGTTTGATGGAAACTATGATCCGCAGGATCATTTATATGAGTTCAACGACCTGATGGAGCTCCACCAGGTTTCGGACCTTGCAAAATGCCGTTGTTTGGCCGTGACGCTGACTTCCCACGCCAAGCGGTGGTTAAGGTCGCTCCCAGCGGGATCGATCAGTTCGTGGCCTCAGATGAGCACGACGTTCCTGCGGCATTTCCAAGCCAATCGAAAGTTTTCAATGCCTTTGAGCTACCTCAGCAACATAAGGCAAGAAAGAGACGAATCCCTGCAGTCTTACATTGACCGCTTCCACAGGGAACTCAACAAGGTGGCTCACGCTCCAGAAGAGTCCATCCGAACTCTTATAATAGCTGGAGTTCGCCCGCAAACCGACCTGTGGAAAGAACTGCAGGCTGAGGACGATATTTCCCTCACCAGATTCTACAACCTGGCAGAAAAGTATCTCCGAATAGAGAATTCATTGGCGGCACTCTGCCGTCGCGATCACGGCACTTCCAGCAGTATGTCTGGTCGGGGAGATAATAGGCGAGCTGATCGCAAAGGAGACATTGACGATCAGCGAAAAGGGAAGAAACCCCGCTACGAGCAGAAAAAGTCCTATGCTCCTGTTCCTCGTCGCGACCGCGACAGGACTCAATACACTCCGCTGAACGTGTCCATATCTGCAATCCTCGACAAATCTGAGGAGGCCAGCTTGCTCGGTGAGCCCGAACCAATGAAAACTCCTGCTACGGCCAGAAACAGCAAAACATACTGTCGTCACCCTCGGGATAACGGGCATCTCACTGACAAATGCCGAGCTCTAAAGCAGGCTATCGAAGAGCTCATCAAGAAGGGGCACTTCAAGGAGTACATTGATGACTCCCCAAAAGAAAACCAAGGGGAGCGAAAGAAAAAGCGTCGTGATCGCAGCGGGTACGATAGTGTTAACATAATTTTCGGAGGTCCGCACCTCGCGGGAAACACGCGAGGAGCGCAGGAAAGGTATGCTCGCGAAGCGCACCATGACCCGATCAGGGTAATGAACACTTCGCAGCGACCTCAAAAAGCCAGAAAGGAGGAACCAATCACCTTCTGCGAGAAAGAGGCAGCTCGCTTGCACCATCCTCATGAGGATGCTCTGGTGATCACGCCCCTGATAGGGTGTCATAATGTCTGCAGAATGCTTGTAGACAACGGAAGCGCTGTGAACATTCTGTTCAAGTCCGCTTTCGATAGAATGAACCTGGTCGAGGCCGACCTGAAGCCAGCCTCGATGCCTCTGTACGGTTTTACAGGGGACCACCTGATCCCCAGAGGAACAATCCAGCTACCAGTCACGCTCGGCGACTACGACGAGGTGACTAGGGTTACCGAATTTTTGGTCGTGGACTGCCCATCGGCCTTCAATGGAATCTTGGGGCGACCTCTGCTGAGAACCTTCAGGGCAGTCACTTCCATTTATCATCTCAAGATGAAGTTCCCCACTCCAACGGGGATAGGGGAGGTAAGCGGATCGCAAAGCGCATCTCGCGAATGCTATGTAAAAGCGGTCCAAATGGCCGACAAGGGAAAGGGCATTTCGCGATGTGCGCCCCGCCAGGCTATGGCGATCAGCCGGATCGAGCCACAGCCTGGTCCGGTGGAGGATAACATAGATCCGCGAATTCAGGAAATCCCCCCGAGCGGCCCGGTTGAGGACCTATCCGAAGTTTCGGTTGATCCAAAAGAGCCGAGCCGTGTGTTAAAGATCGGAAGTTGTCTTAACCCTCAGTTCGCTTCCGAGCTGGTAAGCTTCTTGAAGGAGAATATTGACGTGTTTGCCTGGTAGC